CAAAGAAAATTCTGTATTCCCCACCCACAAATCACCAGTAAGGTAGAGGACTGAATCCTAAGAACCCACCACCCTTCCACCAAGAACAGGCATCTGAGCAGAGGTCTTCTTAGACTGGGGCTGGTTCTACCTGACAGGGCTTCTGGTCTGGCTTCAGCAGGAAGACGCTAGTGACCAAAGTTTGAATTTAGAAAGTGAGGCCACGACTGGCAGTAGTGGCACACGCCTTTAATCCCACTTGAGAGGCAGAGCCAGGTGATCTGAGTTCGAGGCCAGCCTGGTCTACAGAGCGAGATCCAGGATAGGAACCAAAACTACACAGAGAAACCGTGTCTCAAAAAAACAAAAAGAAAGAAAAAGAGAGAGAGAGAAAGAAAGAGAGAGAGAGAAAAAAAGAAAGAAAGAGAGAAAGAGAGAGAGAGAAAGAAGGAAGGAAGGAAGGAAGGAAGGAAGGAGAGAGAGAGAGAGAGAGAGAGAGAAAGAAAGAAAGAAAGAAAGAAAGAAAGAAAGAAAGAAAGAAAGAAAGAAAGAAAGAAAGAAAGAAAGAAAGAAAGGAAGAAAGAATGAGGCCTCATGGCATAGGCCTTGTAGGACCCTTGTCCGAGGAGGTATGTCACTGGGGGCAGGCTTTGAGGTTTGAAAAGCCCACACCATTCCTTAGCTCTCTCTGCCTCATGGTTGTATCTCAAGACGTAAACTCTCAGCCACTGCTTCAGAGCCATGGCTGCCTGCCTGCCGCCCTGCTCCCACCATGACGGTCACAGACTCACCCTCTGAAAGTGCAAGCTTCAAGTTAAACACTGTCTTCTACAAGTTGCCTTGGTCATGGTGTCTTAGCCAGGGCAATAGAAAAGTCACTAAAATAGCCTGCAATCTCAACGTTGGACTTGGTAGGGTGAAGAAGGAGAATTCCAAGTACACTTATCTCAAAGTAAGAAGTAACTAGAGTTGAGAGCAACTAGGTGGTAGAGGTCCTGTTGAGCACATGGGAGGCCCCAGCGTCAATTCCCAGTAACATACACAAGTTTGTAAGTTTATATTTAGAGGAAAAAACACACGGCTAGGGCTTTTTATTTATTTTGAGACAGGGTCTCATGTAGCCCAGGCTAGGCTCCAACTCACTACGTAACCAAGGATGATCTTGACTCCTGACGCTCCTGCCTTTGCTTCCAAGTGCTGGGATTACAGATCTATGCCAAGGTGACTGTTCTCAATCTTGAAAGATAATTAGTAACACCTTCCAAATGGCAAGCACAAAGAGGGATTATTTTATTCAGCAGTGTCCATTTGATAAGAATTGGTTGTCGAGCCTACACCAATCACCAGACAATACTAGTCATCACCAAGGTCTCCTGGCCCAGGTGTGACTCTTCTCAGGTGTCAGTGTGGCTTTGCTATGCTAATCGCTATCTTTTGGGATGCTTCAAGTTTTCACATGAAACCAAGAAGCTACAGGACTCAAAATAAGACACCAAGAAGCCAGACCCATGCCTAATGCTTCTATAAGAGACACAAGACTTGCACAGTGGACAATGGGAAAACCATCTTCCAAACAGAGTAACATAAGGACTCCTACAAAGCAACAGGCAAAGAAAACTCTCTTCCCAAGCACTGCTGCCACCCAGAACACTCCATCTTCTTCTCACTGAGGACAGGGAACACAGTACCGCTTCCCAGTGTCTGCAGCTCAGAAGGCACAACCTGTCACCCATAGCAACTAGAAAAACTGCTGTGGGTAGTACTAGGTGACTCCAGCTCTCCAAGCTCATCACTTCACCTACTCCACATTTTCCTCATCTAGCAGAGCCAACAATGGAGTGTCGTTCCTCCGTCCGTCTCCGTCCCCGCCTTGAGCCACCCCTATGGGTCCCCCTCTGCTGACAGTTTGTCTTTTGGGTCTCTGGTGAAAGCCTCATCCTCCGCTGCTTCCATCCCTCCAGATGTCCTACTCTCCTTAAGTACTATTTAGCTTAAGCACTGCTAACCTCAGCTCCTACAGGGCGTCAGAGGATAGGGATGAAAACAAGCAGCTTTGACTACTCTGAACTCCACATGGCTTGGCCTCTCCAAGGAAACCAAGCTGCACACAGCAATGACCCAAAAATAAGCAGACCCAAGAGCACAGCAAAGGAAGGGCTCAAAGTTAACCTGTATGCTGCATCTTGAACCAAAGGAGAAAGGCACAGTTGCCTTGTCTCTCAGGCACTCATGGGAAACAAACTGCTATAACCCGCGAAGTTGTCTGAGATGATTCAAGCTTTCACACATCTCAAAAATAAGACACTGGAGGAGCTCCGGGTGAAGCACACAACACAGGCAGGCCCTTGAGGAAGCTGTGCTTCTATGTGAGCATGAGGAAGAAACTGGCACATAAACAAGTCTATAATTACGTTCCTTTGATACACAAATAAGTCTGAGGACCTGTCACTTCTCCTCACTGACTTCCCCTATTTCTATTTACAGTGCCACTATTCAAAAGCGCCCAGGTCTGAAACCCTACTGCTGATCCCTTCTCTTTCCTTCCCCATATCCTGGCAATCTTGCTCCCCCCCCCTTCTAAAATTTTTATTACATATTTATTTATTGTGTATGTGGGACGGGGGTAGGGGGGAGATGTGTGGTGTGTACAAGTGTGAAGGTTAAATGACAACTGGTGGGAGTTGCTTCTCTCTTTCCACTATGTGGTTCCCTGGGATCCAACTCAGGTTTAAGGCCTGGTGGCCAGTGCTCTTACCTGTGGAGCCATTTCCTGGCTCTTGGAGTCGCTTTCCTAATCCACGTCTTTGTACAATCTTTCTCCTCCCTACCCCAACTTCTTGCTCCTTCCAGAACCTGTCCTCCTCTCACATTCTGTGTCGTACACAACATCTGAGCCGGTGCGCATGGGTCCCACAGCACACACGGGGAGGCCAGAGGACAACTTTACAGAACTGATTCTCCTCCACATTTACATGGTCCCAATGGCTGCACCCAAGCGTGGCAGGCTTGCACAGCAAGCCTCTTTATTCACTGAACCATCTTGCCAATGCTGGTTTTTGGGGTTGTTTTGGAAACAAGGTCTCACTCGGTAACCCTTAAAGGTACTGGCCTCAAACTTGGGGAGAGCCTCCTGCCTCAGCCTCCAGGTGCTGGAGAACAGAGGAGAGCCACCACACCTAGCTTGCTGTCAACATTCTAGGTGAAGCCTGCCGTCAATCCTCCTCACAGGACAGTTTAATCAGGTCTAAGAGGAAGGGGAGCTTGCTAACTGTCAACACTCAAAACCCCTCAGGCAGAAATTTCCAGTGTCTCAGGATTTGACCCTAACTTCCCAGCCTAACTTCTTCTCTACTCCAACCCCTGCTACTCTGGGCTTTATACATCACCACCCAGCATTCTCGGGGCTGTCTCCCATGGTCTTTCTTTCATTTTGTTTTTTCAAGACACGGTTTCTTTGTGTAACAGTCCTGGCTGTCCTGGAACTCACTCTGTAGACCAGACTGGCCTCGAACTCACTGAGATCCACCTACCTCTGCCTCCCAAGTGCTGGGATTAAAGGTGTGCGTAACCACTGCCCAGCCGTCACCCATTTTTTCTTTTTCTTTCTTTTTCTTTATTTATTTATTTAACTTATTTTTTTTTTTTTTTATGCCGAATGCTGTTTTTTGAAGGAGGGAAGAGGTCTTAAATACAGGCTTATAGCACAATGAGAGAACTCCGGGGGAAGTTCGCTACGATGTTTTACAATTTTGCATCTAAGCTGTTAACGGGCATTATGCAGGACACACAGACAAGGAACTTCCCTTAAGCATTCAGGAGGGTGGAACCCAGCAGGGAATTAGCATAGGGAGAATATCAAGGTCAAGGTCAGCAAGTAAGGCAACAGTTACCCAAAACGGGGCCAGGGCCCTACAGGTCCCCCTTTTACTAAAAAATGAGCTTCTGATTTAGGTTGCATGGGACGTCAGCAGGTCACCTTACCCATCATAGAGCCGCCTGCCCAGGCCACACAGGTGCTGTCTTAGGTTGGTGAGCACCCCCCAGGCATTACTCATCTCTGAATACTCATTATCATACAGGCTCAATTGTGTGTGAGCTGCAGAGTTAACTGCTGCCAAAGATCTCAAAGTGGCACTGGGCTCACAATCTGTGTGTTCGACACAGAAAAGACCAACAGAAGTCCTATCCCACCCATAGCCAGTAGGCTAAAGGCAAATGAGCCATTCCCTTCCTTAACGAGCCTTGCTGCAAATTGGAGCCCTTGTAAGATGGTATCCCAAAAACAAATGGAACTTGAGTTTATAAATCTATAATTTCTTTCTTTCTTTCTTTTTAAAGATTTATTTATTTATTATGTACACAGAAGAGAGTACCAGATCTCAGTACAGATGGCTTTGGCCACCATATGGGTGTTGGGAACTGAACTCAGGACCTCTGGAAGAACAGTCGATGCTCTTAACCTCTGAGCCATCTCTGCAGCCCCAAAATTTATAATTTTCAAAGCCAATCGAAATGTATATAACTATTGATTTAAATTTATCATGCCCAATAGAATGAAAGATTGTTACAGCTACTTTTGCTGCCAGGGTCTCCATTGTGCTAGCTGTAGTAAGCAATTATGAAATGGTAATCCCAGAAACAGTAGCAGTGGTGCCCGCCACTGCTATAACAGCAACAACGGCAGCAGCAATGTCAAATTCTCTTCTGGCCGTCTCCCATTTTTTAAGGCCTAGCATGATGCTGTCTTCTCATTTTCTGTCTTTGGTCATTCTCCACTCTCCTTCCTCGATGACCTAAGGAAACCTGCATTTTAGTACTTACGGCTTCCACTCAGAGTCTCTGCCGCTTCAGTTTCTACCCATTGTGACATCACAGCCATCAAACTGAAGACAAAGACTACTTCAATTTCCTGGGCCTTTTTGTTTTATTTCTGTTTTTGTAAGGCTGGCATGGAACCCAGTGCCTTGCACATGTAAGTGAAAGCTCCATCACAAAACAACTGTTTAAACTTCACAATTCTTGTGCTCACTTTGGCAGCACATATATTAAAATTGGAATGTTAAAGAGAATATTAGCATGGCCACTGCACAAGGATAACACGCAAATTTGTAGTGTTCCATATTTTTTTGTGTTTTGTTTTTTGAGACAGGGTTTCTCTGTGTAACAGCCCTGGCTCTCCTGGAACTTACTCTGTAGACAAGGCTGGCCTTGAACTCACAGACATCTGTCTGCCTCTACTTCCTGAGTGCTAGGATTAAAGGCGTGTGCCATTACTGCCCAGCAAGTGTTCCATATTAAAAAAAAATAAATAAAATAAACTTTTTTTCTACCACCACCACCCCTCCCCCTGCCCCCAAGACAAGGTCTCACTGTGTATCTCTGGCTATCCTGGAACTCACTCTGTAGACCAGGCTGGCCTCAAATTCACAGAGATCTGTCTCTGCCTTACAGGTGCTAGGATTAAAGGTGTGTTCCACTATGCCTGGCGAAAATAAACTTCTCATAATACTCCACATGGCAGTGGCTTGCTAACCACCGGCTGAATGCGCCAAGCAGGACCTGAGAGGGTTGGAGTCATCATGAGATGGTTTGTGAGAAGAATCTGCGATGGGTTTGAAGCATTTAATTGAGCAAAGGGGAGCAGGGCTTTGGGGTTAATGAGAACACTGTGGTGGGAAAAGCACCAGAAGGCCACTGAGAAAAGGCAGGGAATGACCAGAGATGGACTGGAAGGATGGGGGCAGGTTTGGAAGCAGGGGGTGGGTGACCAATGGTAACTGCTGTCCCGGAAGCAGCATGCAGAGTGGACCAAGGAGAGGCTGCTGTGGTAAGGCAGGCAAACCATGGGTGACAAGACCTTCACTAAGATGGTATTGACTGGTTCACAGGATTGGTACAAGTCACACCATTCAGTCATGAGAACTGTGGAAGGTGCACATCTGAAATCTCAGCTTCATAGCATGTTTGAGGCTAGCCCGGGCTTCCTGAAACCCTGTCTCATAGAAAGAAAACAAGTAAATCAATCCTACTGAGCTCAGCTTAAGTCTCTTAAATTATTCCAATTTTTCTCATTACCATCTGCACACTGAACCAATTCCACCTCTGGTTATTCCCAGTTGCAAGGTTTTAGGAAAAGTCTGAGTGCAGTCAGAGTATCCGGTTTGAATTGTGGCTACAGAACTTGTTTTGTTAGCTGGGTCAACATTTTATTTATTTTCATCTTTCAAGAATGTGATTGGGGCTGTAATCCCAGCACTCAGGAGGCAGAAGCAGGTGATGTCTGTGAGTTCGAGGCCAGCCTGGTCTATGGAGCAAGTTCCTGAACAACCAGAGCTGCTATATAGCAAACAAAAAGAAAAAAAAAGAATGGGATTGGAAGCCAGGCACGGTGACATGACATACACTTTTAATTCCAGCACTGGGGAGACAAAGGCAGGCAGATCTCTGTGAGTTTGAGGCCAGCCTGGTCTACACAGAGGGTTCTAGGACAGCTGAATACTCTACAATGAACTCTAACCTCAGTGTTTTCAGTTTTGGACACGGGGTGTCACTGTTTGCCTTATTTAGTGTTTTGCTCACTTGTCAACCAGGCAGGCCCTGCCTCACCCCCCAGAACAGCTGGAACTACAGGGCTGGCTGTACACTAGGCTCCCTGGCTAAGTGATTTTAACCAATGTCTGCAATCCAGCACTGTGCACTCCTTGGAGAACTGTTCCATATAGGGAGAACTGTTCAGTGGCCTGCCTGCAACATCAGACTTTGCGAATGTAATCGTACTTTTCTTCCCTTTGGGGATGTGCGCCCCTTCAAGCCTAACTTCAATTTCCTGAAGGGTATTTCTTAAGGACGACAAGGCAACTGGGAGGCAAGTCTTCACACCCCAAAGGCTGGAGACTGTACTCAGTAAAATACCTTGGCACAAGGCTCTATGTAGGCATCCCAATTTCTGTCTCCATTTAAGAGGCTCCCCGGGGGCTAGCCCTTAGTTAACTTACTAACCCTTGTGATTAACCAGCCTTGTTAACCCTTACTAAACACATGAACTGCCTGCTAATGTTCAACCTCATTCCTTCCTAGCAATGTAAATTAGTAATGACAGCAGCACAATGATACAACAGCTTCACACTGCTCCAGAGCGGGTTATCTCGTTAGGTGTGAGTGTGTGAGTGTGAGTGTGAGTGTGTGTGTGTGTGTGTGTACACGCGCGCGCGCGTCCCTTTAATGCATATGTGGTACTCCATCCCTGCAGTCACTCTGGAAAAGAACTCTCACTTCAGGCATCGTGCCTGTGGAAAACGCGTATGCAGGGTCCATGGTCACAATCCTGGAGCCCCCAGCTTTGCACGGGTGGCACCACTCCCCACTCCCAGGGGGACCAGCCCAATCCGGAGCTTTTACATCCTTGGGGCTTTGGGGTGCAGGGTCCCTCAGCCTCCGCAACGCGCCTGTGCCTGTCAGCCCTAAGCACCCGGCTGTCGCTTTTCCCGGGTCTGCGAGACCTCGAGCTGCAGGTGTCGCGCGCCGGAGCCGGAGGACGCGCCGCGGGGAAGGGGCCCCTGCTCGCCCAGGGGTGAGGATGCGGGATGCTCGCGGCGAGGCCAGGCCGGGTGCGGACTGCCACAAGCCGCCGCCGCCGCCGCCGCCGCGGAAGGATGTCGGGGTGAGGGAGGGGCGCGGCCCGCGGTTGGAGGTCAGGCACAGCGGCCCCGGATACTCACTCAGCCAGGACTCCAGGCTCTCCCCTTCCGCCTCCGCCATATTGCAGCCGCCCAGTCCGGTCCTGCGGACTCAAACCTCGCGAGATTCTGCGCGAGCCGGTCCGGGGCGGGGCCCGCATGGGGGCCTGAGAGGATTGAGAGCTGCCGCCGACAGGCGCGCCGGACTGTGTCGAATATCGGGCGGACGGGCGTATTTCCTCGCTTCTTCCTCGGAGGGAAACTCTGACGTAAAACCCACGCTTGAATAAACTGTGCAGTTTCTCATCCGTATTCCGTCACTCGCTCAGGCGCGCTGTGGACAGCCCGCCGGGGGTCCTCGTAGCGGGCCAAGATGGCTGCCCCCGCACTGCAGGCGGCGCGACGGTGGTCGGGGCTGGCCTTGGGCGTGAGGCTTGCCGTGCGGAACCTTCCAGGGTGAGACGGCCACGGGTCGCTGGCACGGCCGCGCAGGCCTTTGCGGGAGGGCCTGGGGAAAGGAGAGGAGCCGCGCTGAGTCCTGGGGCGAGGGAGCCCCGCTCGGCGGCCCGGGACGGTTGAGTCCGGCTGTTGCTCGGGCCGGTGGCAGGGTCAGCGGCTTGCCCTGCCCGCAGGTGGGGCTGACCCTACCCGAGCCGAAGGTGCCGCCCTGCTGGAGACCTTCGAGCGGGGATCTCCTGGGCGGTCGAGGGAGAGCCGAGTCAAGGCCGATTTCGGCGAGGGCTTCCCGCCTCCGGGGACTGGAGTCAGAACGCCTGCGGGGAGGGTTAGCCTGCGGCCCCAGCGTTCCTGCCCCTCGCCAGCGCCATGGCAGACGGGCGTATTGTTAAGTCAGGCTTGTTCATTTGTCCAGTCACAAATTCATTTGTGGAGTTCTCCTCTGCCTCCTCCTCCTCTTCCCGCTCCCAGGAACATTCAGGTGAGGTGCAGCCGCTATGCCCCTGAATTCAGGGATCCCCTGATCGACAAGGAATATTACCGCAAACCTGTGGCGGAACTCACCGAAGAGGAGAAATATGACCAAGAGCTCAAGAAAACCCAGCTCATCAAAGCTGCCGCAGCAACTTCGACAAGCTCAGTGTTTGCAGACCCCGTCATCAGGTGAGGTGGAACCGCTCTTCCTTGGGCTGGGATTACCCCAGGGAAGGTTTCTACAGAGGGATCTGTAACGAAGCCTTGGAAAGCTAAACACGTTTTTCTCCTTGAAGCAAATTCACCAACATGATGATGAAAGGCGGCAACAAAATACTGGCCAGGTCCCTCATGGCCCAGGTAAGGCAGTGTCTAGAGTCCTCTTTGCTTTTCTCTCTTTTCCCTCGGCTGCCTTTGTACTGTGTCTGGTTTCTTCACCGTAGCTTGAAAACTAGAGAACGGGTTTCTATATCTGTCATTAAAATTTATCTCTGAGAGCTGGGAATGGTGGCGCCCACCTTAAATCCCATCACTGGAGAGGCCTTGGATTCCAGCACTGAAAAGGCAGAAGAGACAAGGCAAGGCAGGCAGATCTCTGTGAGTTCCAGGACAGCCAGGGGAGGGGGGTTCTCACCTGTTCTTGGGGTCAGTCTGGCAAAGCAGTGAGTGCTTAAACTCTCTTTAGTGTCTTTGAAAGACGGTCTCATGGAGTAGTCTAGCCTGGACTGTGCTATATACCGGAGGATAACTTTGAACTCTTGGTCTTCCGGCCTCCACCTCCCAAGTGCAGTTGCTGGCATGCAGCGCCACTCCCAGCTGAACTGGCCGAATTCTTAGGGGCCTGAGCAGCCTGGTCCCTGCCTTTGCAGACTCTGGAAGCTGTGAAGAGGAAACAGTTTGAGAAGTACCGTGCTGCCTCTGCAGAGGAACAGGCCACCATCGAACGTAACCCCTACAGGATCTTCCACCAGGCACTGAAAAACTGTGAACCTGTGATTGGGCTGATGTCTATCCTCAAAGGAGGCCATTTCTACCAGGTGAGTGGGCAATAAAAAGCAGGGCAGCCCACATGTGAAACTGATCGGGGAATGAGGGTCCAGAGTTGGGCCATGTATAATAACCCCTAGAGACTGGGCACTGTCAGGATCTACTCATCTGAGGCCCAGAGTGGAAAAACCACAGGCAGAAGGTGGAAAGACAAGAGAACAGAGTGACTTGGTGACGTCTTCGGGGAGCCCACTTCCTCCCCATTGTCCAGTGTTGTGTGTGTGGTCTACGCTGCACTTGGGAAAGGAATGTTGATGTGCCGGTATCTAGAATAGAACTTGACCCCTGACCATCATTATTGAACTGAGCTAGCCATCCCTATCAGAGCATATTTACTTTATATTATTGCGTTAGGTTGTCTTCTCCTTCAGCAGCAACTCCTAAGACTAGGATTTTTTTCACTGTCTGTGTCTTTAGTGTGGCATAGTACCTGGCATGCGATGGGGCCAGGAAAGTGGTTCTTGTTCAGAAGGTCGTATTTCAGGCACCCTTGGTCTGAAGTGGCCGGCCTGCCTCAGGGAGCAGACTGTCCATCTGGTGCTTGTGTCGACTTGGCAGAGCTTTTCCTTAGGAAGGAACGTGCTGACTGAGTTCACTAAGTGACTGTTTCGTCTTCACTGATGTCACTGAGAAAGCCGAGAAGAGACGGGTTCTGTCAAGGGGCCCATCCCAGGGCTGCTCTAAGACAGTACATGGTAGCTTCTAGGAGGTGGTGGCTCTCAGTCAGCCCCAGCTCAGCTTGAGCTCGTCTCCTCACCCAGGTCCCCGTACCTCTGACTGACCGCCGACGCCGCTTCCTGGCCATGAAGTGGATGATCACAGAGTGCCGAGAGAATAAGCCACGGCGGACGCTGCTGCCGGAGAAGCTGTCAGAAGAGCTGCTGGAGGCTTTTCATAACCGGGGTCCCGTCATCAAGAGGAAGCACAACATGCACAAGATGGCGGAGGCCAACCGCGCCCTGGCCCACTACCGCTGGTGGTAGTGTGAACGGAGGGATGGAAGACTCCGGGACACACTGCCACAGGGGACACTTGAGGGGCTGGAGAGACGGCTCAGTGGTTAGGAGCACTGGCTGCTCTTCCAGAGGTCCTGAGTTCAATCCCAGCAACCACATGGTGGCTCACTAACCTTCTGTAACTCTGGTTCCAGAGAATTTGACATCTTTTCTGACCACTGTGGGCTCCAGGAATGTACATAGTACTCAGACATACATGCAGGGAAATGTACATATACTATTACTAATAAAGTAATAAATGACTTGAGTTACTGGAAAGTTCTGGAAGGAATTTAAGGATGGAGAGGGCCTTTTGTAATGTAATATTAGATCCTATGAAGCCCTAGAAGTTGGGTGGGTACAAATTGAGGGTGAAGCTCCCTTCACACAGTAAGACTCGGGGTCCCAGGAGCATGTGTTGCCCAGTAATCAAACTGGTTCCCCTTCCCTACTACCTACATGTCTCCTTAGAGATTTCCTCCAGAAACTCAGGTCCAGTTAGCTTGGGGCACACCTTTGGCTGTTACGAAAGGAAGCAGTTTGGTTTCAGAAAAGATTTATTAGAAACGCCTCCCACCTGGTGAGACTGTCACTCATGAAAACTGACTGGAGTACACAGGCTTACCTCCACAGTAGTCTGTACAAAATGTACAAAACACTACTTCTCTTGTGATTTGGACTCTTTCTGCCCTTAACATCCCAAGGCATCCCACCAATGGCTGTGATTGCCCATTTTACAGATGGGGAAACTGAGGCACCAAGGTAGTACTGCAGCAGTGGTTACACAGTTCAGTGGTTGTTAGGAGTTGCCTTTCCCTGCCTGGCCCAGGGAGAAGTGGGAAAAAGAAGCTGAAAGGACTTGGAGGAAGGGTGACAGGGCAGTCTCCACAACTCCAGAGTGAGGGAAGGTGAGTCTGGAAAGGTCTACGAGGCCAACTTGAAAGGAGGGTCACAGGAGGGTGTGCATAGCCATAGACATGTGGAGCCTAGCTCAGTCGGAAACCTCACTGTAGTAATACTTATGGGCAGCAGGAGTGGTTTTCCAGCCAGCTGCCCGGAACTCAATGATCTCCAGCAGCAGCAGCCGGGCCAGGGAGCTGAGGCCTATTGGGAGCAGGAAGCCATCCCGGATTAGGACAAAGAGCTCATCCATGCGCTGCCCATTCATCTTCTCCAGCTGCTCCCCAACCCGGTGCAGCTGGAGCACCAGACAGTCGACCTGCAGGGGCAGTGGGAAGGCCTGGTCAGCCCCAGGGAGGACCGGCACCTGCTGAGTACCATGCTTTCCCCGCATGGTGGCTCCTTGCTCCATTCTGACAACGGAGAGGGTATTGCCCACATCCTACCACAGAGACTCTCCCAGAACACCTGACCAGGCTGAACCTGGGCCTGTCTCCAAACTGCTGCTTAACCCTACTCACTGCCTGACTCAAGAGCTGGTTTCTGGGCCAGCTGCCCACAGCTGCCCACAGCTGGCCACAGCTCTTGCCACTCCTACCATAGGTTGTCTGCTACTGGGGGCCTTGCTACTGTGTGTTCCGGATAAATTCCAGACACTAGTTTGTCTTGTACTTGCCACAGGCCTTAAATGCCCCTACTAGGCACCTGAGGCGCCTCCACGGACGGGACCGGGACTCCACGCCAACATGCCCTCCACAGCCTGTGGCTGAATGGCCACTCACCTCCTCTTCCCTACTTAGACTCTCAGGCTGGGCCAGCTGGAAGAGACAGTCATAGACAGGGTTGACCAGGGCCATCATGGGCATGTTGTTCACCTGTGGGGAGAGCAAGAGGTGCAGGGAGGCAGCATTAGTGACCAGGGGGAGCCATCCAGCCTTGGCCTTGGGACGCAGGCCAGCCATCACGGCAGCACAGGGTGACTGCCCATGCCTCACCCTCAAGTAGTCAAAGATGTTGCAGATGAAGGTGACGTAGCAGACCCAGCTCTGCAGGGAGCGGGCTCGAAGCTGCTCCCGGGCCCGATACTCCCGCTGGAGCCTGTCAAGGAGCCCACGGCGGAAGACACTCTGGCCTGCTTGCTTACTCTCTGCCTGTGAGCCAGGAGAAGGTGGTAAGCAGGGCACTGGCCACTCCACCCGCCCTAGCCTCTGTCTATAAGCTCCTGTGTCTTCTGCTGGCCAGCCTGTGCCTGATCCTGAGGTGCCATCCTCAAGGCAGCTCCCTCTCTGCCAGCACCCCCAACCTGGATGATGGCGTAGCACATCCGTCCTGCTTCCTTGCTGAACACACAGTCCTGCAGAGAATGATCCACAATCACATTGGCCACTTTCTCCAAGTCCACAGCACCTGGATCTGGGGTAGAGACAGGAGGGGAGTCTAGAGCTGCCTGCTTAATCACATTTGCCTCCATCTGCCAAGGATTGAAGGTGGCTTTCATATTTCTTTGAGAGAGGGTCTCACCATGTAGCTTTGGCTGGCCTGGAACACTCTATGTAGACCAGGCCTCAGACCCACAGAGATTTGCCTGCCTCTGCTTCCTGAGTACTGGATTAAAGTCTTGAACCACAATACCCAAAGACCTGAGATGTTTGCTTAAAAGATGAAGGGAGGGGTTGGGGATGTAGCTCAGTGGTAGAGCGATTGCCTAGCAAGCACAAGGCCCTGGGTTCGATCCTCAGCTCAAAAAAAAAAAAAAAAAAAATGAAGGGAAAACCAGCCAGACGGCACTTAGGAGGTAGAAACAAGAAGGATCTAGAGGTAAGGGTTACCCTTGGCTACATGCAGAGTTCCAGGAAAGCCTGAATTACATGAGACCCTCTCTCAAAAAAAAGAAAGCTGCATTGAGTGGTGAACACCTATAATTCTAGGGCTTGAGAGGCAGAGACAGGCCAGCCTGGTCTACATAGCAAGTTCCAGGTCAGCCAGAGCTACATAGTGAGACCCCATCTAGAAAAAAAAAAAATCAAAGTTGCAGGTGCAAAGGGTGTAATTTAGGGATCCGCACTCTGCCTGTCCACTGTGTGTAAAGCCAAAGGCTGGACACAGAGCAACCACACCAATGAAAGCAGTCTCCAAGAAAGTGCTTGTAACCATGCGCAGGGCAGCTCGCACCCTCAGGACCCTCGTTACCCAATCAGGAAACAGGGGAGTTGAAGCCATGTCTCAGTAGTTAAGAGAACTTGCTTTTGCAGAGGACCCAGGTTCGATTCCCAGCTCCCACACTGGGCTGTTCACAGCTGCCTGTAACTCCAGTCCCAGAGGACCTGACACCCTTTTGCCTTCACAGGCACTGCATATGTTGGTACAAGTAGGTATACACATAAGTAAACTAAATGTAAAAGAAATTTAATTGTATACTGCCAGGTGTGGCACTCACCTTTAATCCTAGCACTCAGGAGGCTTGCTGACCTGAGTGTGAGGCCACTTTGGCCTACATAGTGAGCTGTAGGCTAGCCAGGGCGCTACCAAATAATATAATTAAATAAAAATAAATGATTAAGAGACCAAAGTACAAATGTAGTTTCTTGGGATACATGTTTTATTTTCTTGGCAGTAGGTTGAAGAATGTATACTGAATGCCAAGATTTCTACAACTTTTTTTTTTTTTTTTTTGGTCTTTTGAGATAGTCTAATTTTGCTATTTAATAGCACTGGCTAGTGGCTGGAGAGATGGCTCAGAGGTTAAGAGCACTGGCTGCTCTTCCAGAGGACCTGGGTTCAATCCCCAGGACCCTCACACAGACATACATGCAAGCAAAACACTAATGCACATAAAATGGAAATAGATAAATTATTTTAAAAAAAAAATAGCCCTGGCTGGCCTATAGCTCATCATGCAATTTTTTTTTTTTTTTTTCGAGACAGGGTTTCTCTGTTTAGCTTTGGTGCCTGTCCTGGTTCTCGCTCTGTACTCAGGCTGGCCTTGAACTCACAGAGATCTGCCTGGCTCTGCCTCCCGAGTGCTGGGATTAAAGGCGTACACCACCACCGCCCAGCTCATCATGCAATTTTTTTAGGTTCACTCATTTTATATGTATGTATATTTTGTCTGCATGCATGTATGCACACCACGTGTTGGCCTGGTACCGGAGGAGGGTAGAAGGCATCGGATCCCGGGAACTCAGTTACTAATAATTGTGAGCCACTCTGGATCCTCTGCAAGGGCTCTTTAGGTTTTGGGTTTTGTTTTTGGTGTGTGACTGGGTCACTATGTAGCCCTGGCTATCTTGAAATTCACTATGTAAGTGACCACACCAGCCTGGAACTCACAGAGACCCTCCTGCCTTTGCCTCCCCCAGTGCTGGGATTAAAGGCGGGCGCCCCCATGCCTGCCTCACAACCAGTGCTCTCAACTGCTGGGCGCCCCCACCCCCACCCTGCGCACTCTCTCTATAGAGCAGGCTGGCCTTAAATATGTGCTAATCCTGCCTCTGTAATCTGCTTGGATTACAGTTGTGTACCATCACGTGGCTCCAAGTGTTCTCAAAACACTAGAGGCCCCAGACACGAGCTCTATGCAGATGCTTCCCCAACGGGTTTAGCTTGGCACATGACGGCCATTGCTAATTGTTAAGTCAAACTTCTGTCCCGAGTGTTACAATGGAAGGGCATGGGGCCAGGCAATTACATATCTCTTCCAGCAAGCAGATTCTCCCACCTCTGTCCCCAGGCAGGCAGCTCTGAACGTCCAAGGGAGCTGACTGCACCGAATGAATGCAAAGCCTTTCACGGGAAGACTGTGTTCTCTTTAAAGGGTACTTAAAGGCTTTATGATCTTAGACAGGACTCTGTGATTCATCTCAAAAATAATGGCCTAGATGTAGCTTGTCTCCCAGTCGAAGAGTTAGGTTGTGACTTATTCTCAGGGAGCCACGGGAAGGCTGGGCATTGCCTGGCTCTGGGACTCAGCCCCTCTGCAGCTCTTGCCCAAGCGGAAGGGCTGGTCGGCTCACCTTTGAGTGCGGTCTTCAGCAGCTGCTGTGTTTCTGCATCAAAAGACTGGATTTTATACTCATCTCTACTGGCCTCTCCCATGACGGTCTAAGCCCCAGCAGCTTTTCACTGGCCTCAAACTAATGCCAGCACCTGAGAAGCAGAGATGGAAGAAGCTTCAAGTGAGAATCGCAGAGCTCCGGATTCTAGTCCTGTAGGTAATGGGTGGGGCAGGCCAGGGCTTGGGACAGGTGGAACAGGACTTTCTGTCGCCTGCAGTGGTTGGTTACAGCCCACCAAACTTGGCTTCTGATGGAGACTTGAGCATCAGGTAGGCACCTGCAGCTCAGCTTAAGGAAACCCATGCTTCTGCTGCTACATACGAGGGATGAAGCGGGAATTCACCTACGGTCGCGGCAGGATCTGGGTTATCAGTCAGTATCAGGGTAAATTTAGGGGAGCATATACTGAACTGGGTTGTGGAGAGGTAAATGTCAAGACTCGCCCAAATTATCCAGCATGGAGAATTCTGGCTCAGTTCCTTTGCCGGTGTTGTCCAAGCCGCAGATCCCGACACCAGCAGAGTTTCAAGCCCTTCTCCCCAACGTGTGCCAGTCCTTTCCAGCCTACAAAACCCACCCCTGCAGCCGTTGGGCTCCGACTAGCCTGCGTGGGAGGGCGCTCGCTCCTCCGGGGCTGCGCAGCGCGCGCCCGCCGTGGTACCGCGCGGAAGCTGAGCTCATCATCTGCCATGGAGGCGTCTGAGCTGCTCGCCGGCGCCGCCTGCCGGCCACGGCTCGCCTTCGCCTCCGCCCCGGGCGGCTCCCCGGCTTGGCGCGGAGACAAATTCGCACCCGACATCTGCGACACCGCCACCGCCGCGCCGAGCGCTCACCAGCCCCTGTCCCCTGCTCACCGGGCGCACCTCCGCCTTGTTTCTGACCGCAGAGGCCCTCGAGTGCTCGGCCGGACTTGCTCTCGGTTCAGCATGAAGCCCTTGGTCTTGCCAGGTCGTACCCCCCACCAGGGTCACCATGTCCCTTGTGGGGTTCAGGTGAACTGGGTCGGAGACTCCGGCCGTGCGGCGTGGGAGGAGCCTCCGGAAGGCGTGGTCTGCCCGGGAGGAGGGGCGGGTCGATCGCAGACGGCTGGGCACCGTCATCTGGGGTTCGCTTGGTTACAGCGGAGGGTGTGGAAGGGCTGGGGCACATCCTTGCAACTCCCTCTTCTGCCACTCGGGCAAAGTAAGTTTTAAATCAAAGGGGCAGTCCGAGAGAGAGGGCCCTGGGTCTTTTCTGGGGGGTATAGGGGGGCAACAATGCGGCTTCCCTACCCTCAGGAGACCAGGAGCCAAAGCTCGCGCCTGTTTTACGAGTTGTCACAACACTCATGGTAATAGGTACAAGAGAACTCTCCTCTGTGGCAGCAAAGATACTCCGGAGGGCAGGGCAATATTCTCATGGAATTTACTTCATAAAAAAAGCAAACTAAAACATTCAGACAGCCGATTCTAAAGCCTCCACGTTAAGATGGGACGTCTGAGAGGAGAAACAAACCCTGGCTCGAAAAGCCCGGGGTGGGGCTGGGGGAGAGGGGATACCGGATGTTCTAGGGACGAGAACAACCCAAGGCTCCTGGAAGCCCCTCCCTACTGAGGCTATGTAAGCAGCGAGGACTGCTGCGATGCACCCATGCCAAGCTGCCCGGAAAAGGCTTGGGTCAGCTCAGCTGTGAGAAAGAAGCAGGGATGAGCTGGGCTGCCCAGAATGCTCTCAAGATCGGTCAAGTTGACTTGAAGAGACTCGACCAGCTGCCCGATTCTTCAATCTGTTGGGCTGCCTGAAGGCTGTTCGGTGTGCTCCATGTTTCCAAGTTTCGTGAGCTGTCAACCTCATTCACCAAGTTGGACTTTGGGGGAGTGCTGGACATTTTCTAAATGATTTATTCATATTCCGGATGCACTGATGTTTTGTCTACATTTACATCTATATGAAGGTGTCAAATCGCTTTGAGCTGGATCACAGACAGTTGTGAGCTGCCATGTGGGTACTGGGATTTGAACCTGGGTAGTCTGAAAGAGCAGCCAGTGCCCTTAACTGTTGAGCCATCTGTCCAGGCCCGTGTGCTAAATAATTTTATATCAACTTGACCCAAACTAAAGTCATGTGAGAAGTGGGAACCTCAGTTAAGAAAATGCCTCCATACAATCAGGCTGTGGGCCAGCCTGGAGAGCATTTTCTTAATGATTGATGGGGGAGACCCTAGCCCATTGTGTGTGAACCCAGGCTGGTGGTCCTGGGTTCTATAAGAAGGCAGGCTGAGCAAGCCATGAGGATCAGGCCAGTAAGCAGCACCCCCCCATGGCCTCTGCTTCAGCTCCTGCCTCCAGGTTCCTACCCTGCTTGAGTTTTTATCTTGACTTCCTTCAATGATGAACAGCTAGATGGAAGTGTAAACCAAATAAACCCTTTCCTGTTGTAGAATATTACTTTAAGATGTGTTACATTTGTTTATGCTGTGGAACATTTGTTTAATGATGCATAAATGTGTTGTATTTTTTGTTTTGTTTTTCGAGACAGGGTTTCTCTGTGTAATAGCGCTGGCTGTCCTGGAACTAACTCTGTAGACCAGGCTGGCCTCAAACTCACAGATATCTGCCTACCTCTGTCTCCCGAGCGCGGGATTAAAGGTGTGCACCACCAGAGCCCAGCAATGTGTTGCATTCTTTTATGTTACATTTGTTTAACTCTGTGAAGCTGTATTACTGTGCCTGTCTAAAATACTTGATGGTCCAATAAAGAGCTGAATGGCCAATTGCAAGGCAGGAGAAAGGATAGGTGGGGCTGGCAGGCAGAGAATAAATAAGAGGAGAAATCTGGGAGGAAAAAAAGGACTAAAAGAACGAGGAGAGGAGAATGCTAGGGGCCAGCCACCTAACCACCCAGCCACGGAGAAAGAGTGAAAGTAAGATATACAGAAGAAAAGGAAAAAGCCCAGAGGCAAACGGTAAATGGGATAATTTTTAAAAAGCTGGCTAGCAACAAGCCGAGCTAAGGCCAGGTATTTATAATTAAGAATAAGCCTCCGGGGGCTGGAGAGATGGCTCAGAGGTTAAGAACACTGGCTGTTCTTCCAGAGGTCCTGAGTTCAATTCCCAGCACCCATATGGTGGCTCACAACCATCTGTAATGAGATCTGGCTCCCTCTTCTGGCCTGCAGGGATACATGCAAACAGAACACTGTATACATAATAAATAAATAAATCTTTAAAAAAAA